ATTATCTTGCATTACAGTCTTTGCCTATGGCCTTTTAATCAGCCTGAGAAAAAAAAAGAAAAAAATTATTAAAAATGCCACTTACTATATTTAGAAGCATATATAACCATGAAGCGTCTAAATTCCCCTTATTTGTTTAGAACCACGCTGGGGCTTTCTAGCCGTCCAATCAGAAGCACGAAATTTCTTTTGCTCATAGATCGAATCAGAGAATTGAACGCATCTCTGTCTAAAACGTAGCTAATAACGAATTCTTCAAGTCCTGTTATATGCTTCTGCCATACTTCATACTTGCATAAAGATTTCAAAATCAGGAAAAGCCGATTTAGATATGATAGTTCTTCTATGATAGGTGTCACCTTAAAACTATAAATTGATTTTAAAAATCATGCAAACTCGAGCTCTGAAATTTATCTTAAAAAATTTTTTCATTTGTAGACAGTCTATAAAATGAACTACTTTAACCCAGATGAAAAAGACTTCAAACTCTGAACCAGTCACTCTTCTTGATCTTCTGTCCTCCCACTTTCACATGCTTCCTTTCAATGCACTTATTGCAAGTCTTCGGGCAGTGAAGCTCGATAAATTCTCTGTTCTCCGTCTTCTTCCCAAAGCAGAATTTCTTGAATCGCTTGCACAATTTAAGATGGTCTTTGCAATCTAGAAAAAGAGAGTAGAGAAACAAAAAACATTGACGTCAGTTGTGCAAGCTTACTACTGATACTATACATTAAGACCTCTAATTATCCGTATCGCCGATTTGAGTCTCACCACGAAACCATGAAGTTCCTTTCGCGCACTTATTGTTTTTTGCTGTACTTTGCTACTCTCGGCTAACGCGCAGCAGGAGCCCCGGCATATGAGCTCCTGCCCGCTGAAGCTTCCCATTTAGCCCATCGCTGGGCGAGCTGTAAAATAATGCAGAGCGTAAACAAGCGTCACAAGCGTGTTAAAGAAGAGTTCGTTCACTTCCTTTTGTGGAAATTGAAATCCAAATGAAAAATACACGCGGTTGTTTCGACAAGTAGCAGCACAAGTTATACATAATCGGTTCCTTTCCGTAATATAAAAAAGCATCCACGAACAGGGCTTTTGGAAGCTCTCATTTTTTCATTCAATTCGGGCGGCCTCAGCCGAGCTAGTGACCTGGGCCCAGTTGCTCGAAGCATGGTTAGCGTTAACCAGCGTTTAATACTTTGACAACGTATTGGTTTTGATACTGCTTAACAAATGGTTAAAGCTAACCATGCTTTGAGCAACTCAGCCCTTGACGCCTAGTCCCCTCTGTCGTCCATGCAGGCTGAGAGTTCGCTGCAGATACCCCAGCGTCCCTCATCGGGGTGTCTAAGAATGTGGGCACTGGGCGACCGCGTCGCAGGTGCCCAAGTGTTGGCCGCTACAGGACAAGCTGGCTGGCTGGCAGGCAATTCGCGGTGACGGTGCAGGCAATGGCTAGCAAGAACAAGCCTTCTGAATCCGTTCCTGGTAGCCCTAATGCATATTCAATACTCGGTACTGCTTATTTTATCAATGATTTTTCATTATCCCAACTTTTTGACTAGAGCTAAAAAAAATGGAAATGATTGAAAAATTCACTGGTTGTTCTTTTTGGATTTTTTTTAATTGTGACGTTTACCAGGACAGCCTTTGATTCCATAGACATCTTTCCGTGGCGTGCGCCTATCCCAACAGCAGCCAAAAGAGCTAAATCTGCAGTCTCCCTGGGGCTTTCCACCTGTAGAACAACATATCAAGAGATTACCATGTCTGGACTAAAAGATAACATCTTTCATAAAGTTTGCATTACTTACATAAGTGGCAAGTGGCAGCACAACTTCTGTTCAGCTTTGCCTTCAGTTGTTCAATTTCCGTGTGGCAAACTCCTAGTCCCAGCTCCTTGACAAGTTTCTCACAAGTCCTTTGCACATTTTCGTTATCTTTACAGTCTGTGTTGAAACAAATTCAAAGGCAAATTAGAGCCAGACTAAATGCAAGACTGGCATTTCCCCCGTGAGCAGAGTTGTTGTATAACTGTCGTTCCTTTTAACATTATTCAATGTAATCAGCGCAATCAGGAGCCTATTACGCTCCTGACGTAATTTAGTAGCTTCACCGGAATGGGACACCGCGATAGTTCCCGCCAAAAAAGAGCACGCGTACCACTTTCTCTTCCCAAAAACCTACAAAAGATTGGCTATACTCCTAGAGGGCGGATGTAAACAAGGTACTATTCTCCCGGGTACTATGCTGAGTCCCTTTACTGAGTCCCCTAATCTTTTAGAACAGTAATGTGGGCTCTTCTATGTCCCTTTTGAACTGATTAGAACGAAAAAGGAGAAAAGGCCAATGCAGGGCCAATGGCACCTGAACTGAGATCAACAGTCTGGCGTACTACAGTGTGATTGGTTCATCAGTGATCACGCAGCCTTAAGTAAATTCAAATGTAGCAGCTGTCTTAGGTCTCCTAGTAGGAGACATTGGAAAGAGATGAAAATTTGAAAAACTGCTGACAAAGCACCTACCATGTAACCTGAGTATCAGGCCTTCCTAAGAGGCTAGCAGAGGAGGTAGGGGAAAGGGGGGACGAGAGAAAGGAAGTAGTGTAAAAAGGGGGGTCGGTAGGCAACACACGACTTTTACCTCATGCCCACACCTGGCTCATGCCAAAATGCTGTTTGTTCCAATAATCAGTTTTTCTTTTTCTCTGACAGGTAGATTGCTCGGGAGGATTAAGTTTTGACTGATAAAATGTGATTTTTGCCGTTTATTTCAAACTGAGAGGTCGTGACACGCATATTGATTTTTTGCGGTTATTATTGTTTCTGCTCGGCATGAATCAGTGATGATTTGCCCTCTGATGGAAAAACATTTTTCCTTTGACCTCTTTTGAAATGTAACTTTCCTCATTGCGGCTAAATAAGGGTTTTAGGTTGTTTAATTTCTCCAAAGTGCCTCCTGGATCTGAATAATTATTTAAGCCCTTTTTGTCCGTGAATGTGACGGTTTGCTGCAATGTATTGTCACGCTGGGCTTAGCTCGTTACCGTTTTTAGCAGGATGTTAAATTCTCACAAATGGTGATTTACATATCCTAATCTCGAAGAATGGGTTGCAGCTTAAACTGAAGCTACATCAACTATGACGAACTGCGATGTGACTCATGATGATGTCATGATTACTCTAAAACAATGAATTTTAAACTCCAGCTCGTTTTTCTATTAATGTGAGTCTTTGGACTGGAGCACGTAGTTTCTCCCTTGGTGACAACTTTCGAATTAGCTTAATAGTCTTGCAACTGTTCTGTTATTGCCACTTTGTGATCGGGCAAGACCATGGTTTCGGTTCTCCACGCGAACCGCATCAGTTGCCGGGTTGACTTTATGCTCAGTTGCTTTAACATGAGCAACTCTACTTACTTTTTCTGTGCTGTGGCGAGAACCTTAAGCCGTTCTGTTTAGTTGAGCTTTGACCTTGTACATAAGTACCCGCGTGAGGGATCGAAAATTCTAGCTTTCTTATTGGCTACTGAACGCAACCAATTACGGAGTGTGCATTTCGATCCTCTTCTACTTGAAGCTTGAAGTGTGTTTTCTCGGAACGCATTTTGTGAAAATGTTAGCACTTTCTTTTGTAAAACAGTTGGAGGAGTTCAGTAAATAAGTGTGAACAAAGATTCCGTACACTCCCTCTAAAATTGGAGTGGATACCTTCTTTGTTAGTAGCGCAATGTGAAACGTTCTCCTCTGTTCTTGGTTCTTAGTAAGTGCTTGTCTTTTGCTCTCTCCCTTTTTCTGTTCTCTCAACCTCCTCCCCCCTCCCCCTCCACCTAGAAACGCCTGATACTCAGGCTACTTACCATGACCCAAGATTGTAGGACAGAGCTCGAGTAGAATTTAATGAAACAAGTTAAGAAAAAACGGAAGTGAACTAGGATAAAGAAAAACATTGCTTTCATTGTTTTTATGGAAGGCTTCTTTAATTCGGTGATGCTTGCCATGATAACGCATTTCTCATTTTACCTTTCGTACCTACCTCGTCCCCAAGGCTTTCCCCTTAAAAAATGGGTGGGGCGACCCCACCCATAGGGGAAAAGCCCTGGGGACGAGGTTGATTTCGTATTAGCACATTCCACGCAACCCTTTCGTTTTTGTGCATCGATTGCAACAAAGGAAGTTATCTCAATGACAGATGGGGATAGATGCTTAACCCTTTTCACCAAATCAGAGAGGATGATTTATCACTCTAACTTTTAAATCTGTGAATGAAATCCTATGGTCTCGTAATTCAAATGAAACCTTCTTGGCAGTAGTGTTGTATTGTACTCTTTATTTCTAAGGATTTTACACAAGAACGCCTAAAATGTTTGGAAATCTTTAATTACATAAGCGGTTTGTCATTATGAAGAATGAATAATGAAGGGTTGGAAGGCATACAGTACCTACGCTAGTTCATAAATGTTTAGGGGCAAAAATAAAGTGAAGTAGCTGAAGTTAAGCCGGTAACTATTAAAAGCATTTTGAAGGCTGACGAATTGCGTTCTATTTAACATGCTTTGTCACTTTATCTGAATTTTTATAATTGTAACTACTACGCTTATATTCGGTGTTTTTTACCTAAGAAAGTAAAATATGTACCGGAAAACACGTGATCTCTCCTGAGGCTAGGTCAATTTAAATTGAGGAAGAGAATTAACCGTTCTTAAAGTTCCACTGTCATCATGGAAGAATTTCTTCAATCGACTCTCCGAGAAGCAAAAGGATATAAGTGGACTAATGACGTTTATCACAAAATCTTTTCTAACAGGGTGAAACAGACCGTTTAAACTGGGTCAATTGTGAGGGAACTGCAAGGCGGAACCTAGCAGTTAGGGTTTTATCACATATAAAACTCTGCATGCACAGAGGAAAAAAAAATCGATCGGAAGGAAGTAGCCTAAAAGGGCTAGTATCGCACAGAAAAATGCCTTAGCCTACATATTTCATGTTTTGGGTGACTGAGGATTTCCCATTCATTATATATCTGCTCAGTCCCCGGAGGGAATGGATTAGCCAGTGGAAGACTGTTAACTGTAACAATTAAAATTGAATCTAGCCAAGTTAGCAGAACTGTGGTGCTATATTAGCAGCTTTCAACAAGGGTGTTTTGCAAACTTTTTAGTTGTCGTTCACTGTCATGCCATCAATATACTCGAGGATCAAACGCGTTAATTATAAAGTCGGCTCTCTGACATGCCTGTCCGTGTTTGGATGTGATAGAAATGTACCAAAAGAAATCGTTTAACTTCATAGTGTTCCCAAAAAAAAAACACTCGCGAAAGTTTTGCTAATGCAAGCCATACGTTGCCAGTTTTACTAAGTCGCCATTGTAAAAAAAAAAAACAAACATAGAGATACCACACATCACGTACCTTGTCTTTTGGCCCTGCTCCTGGTCTCTACTCTTCTGTTAGCAGAAACTTGCGGAAGAACAACACACAGTGACAACACTGCAATCAAAATGTACCCCAAGGAAGTTTTTTTTCGACTGGCTGCCATGTGTTCATCAAGAAAAAAATTCTCTTTTCTTGTTCGTTCCTGGCTTGTTTGTTGGGTTTGAATGTGCGGATTATCACCTTATATCTGTTGGGCGCAACCAGCGATCGTCACATGCGATAACTAAAACACGCAATTTATTTTCGCTGTCATCTTTAAATCATTCGCATGACAGGGGTCACCATATTCAGTAAAACCTCTGATCAAGCGGGATCCTTCATCTATAGGTAAAGAAGTCTGGGGCGATGGACTCAGTGTCCTTTTTGTGATGTCCTCATTGAACGACCACTTTTACCGTTGTTACTGCTGGAGAGAGGTATTTTTCTCTTTATTTTTTAACGCACCTTTTACTTCCGGCTCTGATCTCTTCTCACAGAAAACCCGGTTATAAACAAAAACATTTACGGTGACGTTGTGGAGTGAAGGATGATCGCTCCTGTTTCGTAACTAAGGAATTTTCAGTTGAAAAGCAACTACTGTTCAGTGATGTTACTCGCCTAGCATGCATCTCATCGTTTTGAAAATGATCTCGCTAAATCAAATGCAAAACAATCCATAGAAAAATCGCCAAAAATCCAAATGTCATTTTGTCACTGCAGTTCCTGAATGTTGAAAAAATTTGCTTCGATCGACTAATGATAATTGACAGATTCCATATTTGGGCAATACAGCGATTCTACCTTCACTTGCAAACTTGACAACGTATCGAACAGTGTGTGTTTGCTCAGGTATTCTTGATCTGCCACAGGGACCCAGGCTCGTATATCAAAGTATTAATATAGGCGCTTTGATAGCGCTGGTCTAAAGAGCAACAAATAAAAATAATAATAATAATAATAATAATAGTAATAATAACAATAACGACAACAATAAACAAATGACAAGTGGCGTCCATTATAACTCATTTACTTTTCTTATGAAACTGAAGATGTTTTGCCTCCTTTTGAGTTGTTTCTCGACTATACCCTGAGCATATTCAGACCGTCATCTCAGCCAACTTTATTCTTCACTTCTCTACAGTGTGATACACACACTTCGTGGAAAATTATAACATCTAACTGAAACGGCCCTTAATGATTTATTATAATGATACTGTAAATGTTATTTATCTAGCGCTACTTCCTATGGATCATAGCGCTTTGAAAACAAAAATAAAAAATGATAAAAATTTACATCAAATGTTTATAAAAAGTGTTGACTCAGATTACATGACCTTATTTTATACATACCTGGCTATATATGTTATCTACAATTGTGCTTAAAAAAATATGGAAATGCTGTGAAAACCAATTTAAAAAATGAAAATGATAAAATCTGAAAATCTTTATATAATATTAATATGTTACATATATAAAGTCAAAACTGAAACTTAGCCCACAATTCTGTTTAAAAAGATATGTGTACATAGACATACGTGGAATGGTTTTTAATGATAGTTTGTCAGTTGCATGTACTGTAAATCCATGGCTGTTTTATTATTTTATCATTTTGATATTAGGCCGTCCACACGAATTCGGATACTTTTGAACCCGCATGTTTTTTTTTGTTTTGTTTTGTTTTGTTTTTTTTTCACAATAGAACGCGGATGAATGAATGAGCGAATTTAATGGTTTCGTGTGGAGAGAAGGCCGGTCTTGTCAGAAATATGAGGTTATTTTAAAAAATATCCGGATTATGTGGACTGGGCCTTATTTGTGGTGAAACATTAAACTACAATTAGCAAATATATTTTTTTGATAGCCTTGTTCATCCGTGGCCTGTTTCAAACTGGAACAAAAATTGATTTGCACTGAGTTAGTTGCAATCATTGGGTGACCATAATATCGGTCAAACTGTAAGATACTGTGAGAGGTTGGTGATCAATCAAACATCGAAAATCCAGAAGAAGTACTGTGTCATCTCAGAGGGTGTTATCTTCATTTCTTCTTGAATATTCCAGTTCAGTTGCTTTACCCGCTAAAGATAAACAGAGATCCAGTTAACAAATCATTCTTTTTAACCTGCCAGCAGAGGCTGCACCAGCTGGCGTTTAGTTCGTTTACGTTTGTGGGCGTTGTTCAGTAGACAATTTAACACAGTCGTCCGGCTATTTCTTGACTGCGCGCACACAAATTGTTACTGAATATCAAATCTTGCACAAAAGTCAAGTGAAACAACAGAAGGACAGAACTTAAAAGTAATAATGTTTCCCAACTTTTTCAAAAGTAATCTGGTGATTAATTATTTGGTTGGTTACACGTACGAAATATCGACCAGTTCATATGCGTTCCCCAGTGTAAGTGGTGCCCGCCTGTAACATGATGTTATTGTTTGCACATTTTAAGAGGCCACAACCGTAATCAGTGACAGTTCGCCCCATGTAAGGGAATTCAAGACAGTCTTGGATTCTGGGATACAAGTCACGGATTTCGGATCCCAGGTAATGGATCAGCCGGATCCTTTGTCAGTGGAACTTGGATTCTGGATTCCAATCGATAGTGGGATCCGGAATTTTGGACCTGTATTCCGAACTCCAAAGCACGGATTCCCGATTCCAAGAGAAAAAATTCCTGGATTCCAGATTTCGGACTCCCTTACTTTGGACACGACATCACAGTAACTACTGTGACTTACCTTTATTTGATCAAAGTTTTCCCCAGTCAGACATCTTGATCTTTTGTCCACTAATCCTCATACCCCTTCTTGTCCGGCATCTCCCACATGTCAAGGGACAGTGAAGGTCCATAAATGCTCCGTTCTCAGAGTCTTGACCACAGAATTTTTTGAATCGTTTACACAATCGAAGATGATTTTTGCACTCTAAAAAAGGTAAGATTCAAAAGGAAATTTATTCGTGTCAATAAAAAACATAATAGTCTACACATCTTTGCTTAGAAATGTTGAAAGTTAAAACTGACTGTAATTTCGGAATCATTCACAATTTGCTTCGTGTTAACCCTGTATGTGTGTTTATGTTCCCAAAAAGTCTTTTCAACCAGTCGTATGCACTTCACTGGAGAGAAATTTTTTGGTAAGCAGTTTTTCTAAGCATTTTTAAACATCCTCTGTCTGATGTGAGCGCTTCCATGCCTGTGATACCCTCCTTTTGACTACATATAGCTGCCAAATCACCTGACAGACAGCACGAGATGAAGCCGACCTTAAAAACTTCCTTTTTTTTCACCCCGAGGAAACACTACGCACAAGTTGCTTGCATGAGTTGTTTCTTTGGAGACATATGTTATACAGTTAGGTCTACACTAGCCTCCCCGCAGACGTCCTTTGGGGTTCGTTCGTCACGCATGGGGTAAGAGTGAATGAATGCGTGACGAACGAACGGCAAAGGAAGTCTGCGGGGAGGCTAGGTCTACACTCGATTGAGAAAACGCTGTTACGTACTTTAAATCATAAACCTCAACAATGAAACCCTAAGAGCTTTCTGTGAAGAGTTCACGCAACAATTTTATTTGCATAATCAGCGAGTGTCGTGCCGGCGATAATTCTCATCCGGGGATTACGAGCTTATCCATTCTTGGTTTTAATTATTTTCAGATAGTTATCTTCACACTGATAAAACGTTTGCTATGTTGGCAATGTGGACGCACTCTAAAGAGATTTCTGAAAACGTCTGCTCAAAGTTGGAGTTGTCGCCAAGAAAACGTGAAGCCCTCACTTTCTGGAAGCTCTGCCGCATGGAGAGCTTGTAATACATGATGTACGTTTTACTAATAAACTAATAAATTTAAACCCATAAACTCATTGGGTCTCATCGTTCGTGATTCATTCTTTTATTCGCTGTTTTCATTCTTAGTAGTGTTTCGCCATCATTTTTACTCTCTTTGTATTAGGACTTTACCTGGGCATCCTTTAATTCCGTAGACATCCCCACGGGGTGTGTATGCATCCCAACAACAACCGTAAATACTTGTTCTACAATCTTTTGGGCGGCCTCCACCTAACGAGAAATTTGAAAGTTTTATTTCTATTGGCCTATCACTTCTATAAGAGAAACACCGTGCAGGTGACCCGAAATCTCATAGACGTTGTATGGTGGCAATTTCGAGCCCTCAACCACACACACGCGACTTTGTGTGGCAAAACCTGTTCTGAAAGTATCACCTTAGAATTTTGTAAGTTTACTAATTTCAAGGCACTCTTGCCACCACTGTTGATTGATATTCTCTCAGTGATCTTAATAAAACTCAGTTTAAAAAAAAACAGTTGAAAGGTCTATTGGGTCTAGCGTTTAAACTCTTGCGAATATATCATCATTTTGTGGTGCTTACAGAACTTGCAAGTTTCCCCACAGCTTCTCTCCAATTTTGCTTTCAGCGGTGCAACATCCGTATAGCACACCTGAATACCCATCTCCTTAACAAGCTTAATGCAAGTAGCGCGTCCTCTTGATTCATCCTTGCATCCTAAAAAATGAAATAACAGATCATCAAAGACTCATAAAGCCCGGTCAAACCGTAACAATAACAGCGCCCCTTCGACATTCTCAGACAACTTTCTCAGAATGTCTCTGAGGTTTTGAGCTGGTCAGAAAAACACAAACTTACCGTCACATTTATGGGAGGGGCACCCAACGGGGATATAGTTCAAAACCACTTAACATAGCATTGTTGAACGTATTTTAGTATTTAAACGGAAGATATAGGCATATTTTTATCCCCTAAAAACGTCTCGTCTGTTCGGATTTCCTAGCTAAAAGTATAGTGATCCGAAAATTATAGGGATAAAAACTTACCTTCTCGAAAATTTCAGCCAGGAAAAGGCTCCCGAAAATTCTAGATGGCCTTTTTTAGGGTCAAAGTCCGTTGAAAATGGGTAATTATACCATTTTGTAGATGTTCGAAAATCCTAAGAGGCAGGCAAGGAAGAAATTTTACAACAAATCTTCCGAAAATTCTAGATCTCAAATCGTCTTCCGAACAGATATTTTCCCGAAAATTGCCGTTGGGTGCCCCTGTTATGGCAACGTTTTGACATCTTAAAAGAAAATTCAATTTATGTTACGCATCTTCTCTTTTAAGAATCTCACATTCGTAGTACCCAAAAAGGTTTTTTTTCTCAAGCTCTAATAAAATCTATTTTGAAAAAGCATGAGTCAAAAAGCCACAACGTGTTATTTCATTAGCCGATATTGTGTGTGTTTGATCCTCCCCTACATACAAAGTCGTTGTGAGAAATTGAGAAAGGTTTCAACTTGTATACACGTATTATCAGCATCGTCACAAAAATTTCACCAAAAAGTTATATTCATATTCCGCGGCCGAGACAGAAAGTGTCGAATCAAAGCATGAGCTCAGAAAATATTTTGCTGAAGAGGAGAGTCGAAGTCTTTGACAGAGTTTATTTACTTTTTAATTTAGTAACATCTAATGAGTCCTTCTTTAACTTAAGACATCCGATCAATGATGAGGCATAGCAGCCTTTTAAAAATGTTGGCAATGTCCTTCTCTTCATAATTTTTGATAACAAAAACGACGTTAATGGCCTCTTAAAAAAAACCATCGCTTTGAGGACAATAGACCTCTTTCGACATTCAAGTGCTTTCAAGAGCCATAATGCCAAGCCCATTATGGCTTTACTGTGGTGAATGAAGTAGTTTCCAATAAAACCGTTTCCTTTCGATCGCAATTTACGGAATGTGGTTTCATTCTGGGTTTATGTTTGGCTTGGCCATTTAAGGGCAATTACTCTCAATTGATTTGTTCTCCTTCCATTATTTCATCGGTTTTCATTTGAAAACTCGCCGAGAATTCCGAGTTCCATCGAAAATTAAATGTCTTAATTAGGCGTATTTAGTTCTTGTCACAACTACATGCTGAAAAATTTTGGATAATTTTTAGAGTATTTTATGGGAGGAAAAATGGGGAGAAAAGAAATTTTGAAGCTTCAAGGTAAACTGGCAATTAAAATTTAAAGAGAATATTAGTTGACAAAGGCCAGACGGTCTACTCTTGGCGTGCCTTCATTTTTCATTGCCAACTTTATACGCTTTTCAAAAAAATTCAACCATACATAAAGCCTCCTTAATGCATGAAACCCCATCGGCTGAGCATTTCGTAATTATGTTATCAAAATGAGATTTGGGATTTCTTTCTTAAAGTTTTATTTTTGGCAGTTTTGTGAATAAAAGGGTTTTAGCCATTATTTTATCCAATCAACATCGATAAGTCAGTGGATTGTATTTTTCATCAGTGTCTTGCTGATTTGAGGCCAGTAGCAAATGTTTTTAGGCATACCCCGGATGTTTAACTCTAAAGACAATCATCATAGCAAGGCTGAATATTCCGTTGAGCTCCTGTCCATGATTTTTCTTTCCTTTCCCTTTTTAAAGCCTTAATATCAATTTTTAATACGCTTTAGATGGCATTATTTATTTAAAAACCCAACTCTGTATCTGGAAAAAAATGGAAACACCAAAATCAACAAACAATAAACGTTCAAATAAAACGTGATGTTGAAAACAGAGGCACCCAACGGCAATTTTCGGGAAAATATCTGTTCGGAAGACGATTTGAGATCTAGAATTTTTGGAGCATTTGCTGTAAAATTTCTTGCTTGCCTGCCTCTCGTAGGATTTTCGAACATCTACAAAATGGTATAATTACCCATTTCTAACGGATTTTGACCCTAAAAAAAGGCACCTAGAGTTTTTCCTGGCTGAAATTTTCGAGATCGATTCGATTCGATCGATTCGGATCACTAGACTTTCAGCTAGGAAATCCGAACAGATGAAAAGCTTTTAGGGGATAAAAATATGCCTATACCTACCGTTTGAATACTAAAATACGTTCAACAATGCTATGCTAAGTGGTTTTGAACTATATCCTAGTTGGGTGCCCCTGTTGAAAAGCGCTTTCATCGGAAACTGTGATAACTGGGAAAATTTAGCCCTTTGCTCGGAAAAATTACAAAATCGGTGGCAACACATCTGCTTCTAAGATTTCATTTAAAATATATGTTTGAGTTGAATATCGATTCGCTTGGCTTACTCGTACGCCTTAACAAACTTAAAACGAGATTTCCCCTTATTGGGTCTTTTGAAAGGGATATATAATTGATGTCTGCCCTGGGATTACCACATAATGACCTCCTGGTCAAATCTAATTAGGTACGTAATTGAGCTTAATGTGGAAATTATTTAATAGTAAACTCCAACAAAACGTCAGTTCCGTTTGTGTTTGTGCTCTTTTCTCGCCTACTCGTACTTGCGAAAAAAATTAAAAATTGCCCGACTTTCGTTAAATGCAAACCATTCAGAACTATTAATGCTTGAGAGTTTTTAAACCATGAATTCTACTAAGGATCAGATGAAAAAATGTCATCGACTATGAAAGAAGGACAAATTGAATAAGGGGAAATTTTTACTGCCTTTCAAAGTTTTCTCTCATGAGGAAACCGGTTTGTGGGTCAGTTAAAAGCTACAATTGACTTCCAGTTGCGGAGATATTTTCAGACTAATTCAGCAGTAAAGCGTAAGTGTGTTCTCCGCTCGATAGGAACTATCATGATTGTAGTAATCAATTCAATACAACTTGCAGAAAACGAAGAAGGGTGACCCTGATCATCGATCTTCTCAAACTCATCACATCGCTCTTCTTCAATCCTTTAGGAAAACGGTTTTATTTTATAGTGTGCCTGAAACGTTACACTGTTCGGTATGACATTATTCTTCAAGTCAGTGAAGTAAGTCGAAAAAAGTCATCGCATGAGCTGATCAGCTGATGAGCTCAAGTGAAATTGTTTTTAGTTATCATCAGATTGATTTTAGTTACCATTTTTAGCTACAATTTCTATTTATCGTTTATTTCCATTTATTACTAATGGGAATAAGACATCGATTATACTGTACTCTCGCATCGTGTGTTATATGTTTGTCAGGTTGCCCCCAAATCCCGTGAGCTGCGCGAAATCTGAAGCTTTCCAGTGGTGCTGTGTTTATGATACTGTAAGAGGGTGCTCTTAACCTTTTTAGTGTAAAACTTGATTTCTCGCTGTGGCCATTTACATGACCACTTTTTACCACTACAGTTTGACAATTCAGTAAGGTCCCAACCGTGGATCACCGGCCTAAAATTCACCTGACAAGCATCAGCTCTATTTGATTTGCTTTGGTGTAAAATTAAAGAAAATATTTCAATCTAAATAGTGTAAGGTACCTTTTCTTCGGAACCTGTAAGCACTTGCCGAAGGTCTTTTTCCGGGATAGTAGCCTCTTGCTGCATCTATTAGCAAAGTTACTTCGCAAAGTAACAAAACTGACATCGCAAAGTGCAGGAAGGAAATCTTCGTTGGCAGCCCCATATTTCACTTGCCTTACTGTAAACTGTAGTTACGCTGTGTTCTGACCCGTTTATTAAACAAGACAGGTTGGTTTAGCCCTCTTATAAGTAGCTGAAAAAAATGAGTGGCATGAGGTCATGATGTAATACCATATCTTGGGACGTGGGTGTATTATAACGATGCGATTACTCCCTCTGAAAGCACGTTCTCTTTTGCCATACATCGGCTGAGTCATCAACGAGGCTCTCCGTTTTTATCATTTCAACAGGACAAACTGGTGTTAGAATGAAGCCTGGGTTTTTTATTTTTAGTTCTGATATTAAACAGGATTTTTATTGTTATCCGTCGAGTTGTTTGTCAAAACATATCGTGATAGTTTTTTTATTTACTCTGCCATTGATCTGTGTCTGCTCAACTGCCACGCTAAAAATAATATCGCATGTTTACGACACGAGCGTAAATTCGTGACTTCCGAATTAATTTACTTTGCTCTTCCTACGGATCTTAGATCTCTCTTGCCACAAACACGCAGGACACCCTAACTATTTTAAGCAAGCTTTGTACCGGGGGTGTACTCCTAGGAATTTGTGGTAGGGGGTATGCCACCCTGTTCTCCAAATACTAACCCTACATGCCATTTTTCACAAACCGTTTTCAGAGACCGGGCCGGCTCAAAAATCTATATCCCGCCGTTTTCAGAGCTGTACTCTGTTTGCACACAACTTTATTAAGGTTGCAGACCCATTTTTACCTTGTCCAGGTTTAGTGAACATATAGTACCAATAATAAATCAGCTCTTTGCCGTAGTGCCAGCCCGAATGGAACTTGAAAACGATACTGTATACTTAGAGTAGTAGAAAATTATTTAGGTTGAATGGCATCCCACACATGTTTTATTCTCGCTTGCTTAGGCCCGCCACTAAAACCAAATCTTGATACGGTCATCTGAGAAGAGGTGCTGAAGCCGTATTATCCGTTCTTGTTAATGGGAAATCGAAATTGAAGGAATTACTTACCCCTGAAAGAGATCTGAGGAATTAAACACATTTTTCTTAATTTTCAACCATGTAATAACATTTCAGTTTATTAGAAAATTCCTCAAAAAGACGTAAAACTCAACATTTAGCTCCGTCATTTCGAAAAGAAAGATCCGAGAAGCACATTCCTTCTCACATCCCACTTGGACTTTTTTCTAATCTCCAAAAATTAAGACGGAATTCATCAGGAAATTGGGTAATTTTAATTTTCGGTGGACCGAAAAACCTTGCACCAGAATATTCTTATTAAACCATATCGCATTCTTTTTTACGCTTTTCAAGGGCTATAAAAATACTAATATAACTCCAAGGAAAAGGTTCTTATGGGAGCCCGCGAAAATAAATGTCAAATTTCACAGGAATTGAGAAAACACACACGCAAGTGAAATCGTCATAGTAAGATTTCTTTTTGTGAAATTTGAAGGTTTTGAAGTTTATTTTCTCGGGCTCCCATGAAAACCTTTTCTTCGGAGTTATTTCGCAAAACTTATAACACTTATAGCCCTCGAAAAGTGTAAAAAAGAAGGCGCAATGTGATTGAAATTATTCTGGTACAAAGTTTTTGTCCCCTGAAAATTAAAATTACTTCTTCCCTCTATTTTAACTTCTCTGTTCTCTTGGTAAAGACTCATCAGTGTGCCCATAACGTTACATTTATCTTTCATTCGAAGTTTGTCTGTTTTGGGGGAACATTTATTTTGGCCCTGTATATGCAACTAGCTTTAATTAACGCTCTGATACACGGGATTCCTTGTAAGCAGTGTTCGTGTAATTTACAATTCTAAAATTAGTGTCGACAGAGTCGGTTTAATTTTAACAGCGGACAATTCGTGACGGGAGTTAAAAATAGCTGACTTACGTCAAAAAGATCAAATTTGATACAACCCAGGGGTCTTGTAAACAGACTTAAAATAGTCCAAGAAGTAAGAATGCTATCCGTGTGTTTTTCTTTTTTTCTAACCGGTTAAAGGAAATTAGGTTAGTCAGGCAACTACTAAAAAGAAGCTATATCAAGCTGTACTGGGCCCTCTTGTCCTCTCAGTTAACAACACTATTCGTGATACATCGTGATGAGATAGCTCTTGACCAGTTGGATTTCAAGTGTTTCATGAAACAAAATGTGTCATTGTATTTCTTTCAGCATTCCTAGAAAATAAAAGAGTATTTTGAAAAATAATAATTAAATAATAATAAAAAACGATTACAAACCATAATTAAGTTTATTTAAAATAAATTACACGCGCGTGCGGTATGGGTGCTCAGTTAAAAAACCACGTAACTGGGGGATTAGTTTAGTGGTTAAAGATATTAAGTAATACATCTGGACCCACCTAAACTAATCGGAAATAGTAAGGAATTGTTTATTTATACTACAATGAATTTGTCCTTGAACATCACCGCGTTAAGGCTGATTACGGCTTCTCGTGTTAATACAAGAAACTTCTGGGTAGATCAATTTTAAGATTTCAGATTCGCTATGACGTTTTGGGCAACTCCTTGAAAAAAAGTTCCGATAAACCGAGAAAAAAGGTCACGACAACGAGTATTACACGTTTCAACCCCTGATGAGTTTCTGGTTTAGTTTAACATTTGGCTTTGATTCAAAAAAATATATCATAGCTCTATATGACTGAAATATAATTAGCAGAACGAATTTATGCAAGCGTGATAAAATTTGATCATAAAAAGATAACTATCAAGGAGCAAAGGAAGTGAGTAATAAAAATCATTTCTTACGGCGAGCCAAGAAATGCCTTTAACAATTTGATGTGTTTCCTGAACATCACTCCCGATCGACAATTGTAAGTGTAATCAAGCTTAAAATATTGCGTTGCCATTTATAATCTGACTGAACCTGACTTTAAATAAAAGACACAAAATGTTCTGGTGTACTTTTATTAATCACTAAAAAAAACAACCCGGTAGAATGCTTAAGTGTTTTAATTGTGTAAAGTAACTTTCTCAAACTCATTAATAATTCATAAAGAAAATTCAAAGGAAATTAATGTTTAATGAGTGTTTGGATATCAGATGAAAAACTGCTCATTTTTGCATCCTTAATTTCTCCTTCAAAAATGATTTTGTTTGAGAAGAAATATCAAACATTCGACACAGTGTTTCATCACCAGATGAAACACCTCGAAGTTCGTCAAAAATACTCCGCTGCGCGTCGTATTTTCAACTCTCTTCTCGGTGTTTCATCTGGTGATGAAACACTGCATCTCATGTTTGATATATTACCTGACATCCTTTTTTGTCATATGTCCAAAACACGACAGCTACCTTGCAGTTCATAGATTCGATTCACTGAATGAATATTTGCACGGCGAGCTCACCTATGCTGACGTTATCGTAATTACCCGGAAATAAAAAAAAACACACTTCAACCTCTACGTGCATCATACATGGAATAGGTTTTAGTCAACGCAAAAGATTGGAGCTACTTGAATGGGACGTGCAGAATCATTGTTATAATATTATTATTCAATGTATTTATACACGGGAAATCATCAGTTTGATTAAAAAGTACATACTAAATAAAAGTAAACTACTAAAATCTAACTGATTTACATGATTGCCGTGTGCGAGCCTAAATACGAATAGCAACTTTTCAGCTACTTTTTTTAAAAAAAAAACAGGGAGTCACATGCCCTTAGATCCTGCAGCAGAGAATTCCACAAGGCGGCATCGCTGTAGGAAAAGCTGCGCTAGCTTCAGTTACTCTGTCGTAGGCTTTAGTTAGGAAATGCAAGTTTGTGAACTGAGTTTCTCAGATCACAATAAGAATTAGCACTAAATTTGCAAAAGATTTGGCAGAGACACTGGAGCAAGATTACGTAATGACTTAAAAACCAACATGGCCTTGTGCTTTTGTCTGTTGGAGATCACGTTTTCCCACCTAAGTGCGTCTGGAAGTGGAGAAGAACTAACTTCATAACTCGATTTTGTTATGACCCGGACGGCACGACTTCGAAGCTTCTGCTTGAAGTGTTCAGTTAATTGATTATTTATACCATCCCAGACAGTGCAAAAATAATCAAAATGTGGCTGGATGAGGGGGTTATAGATCATTTTAGCCATATCCAGGAGGCTTCTGCCATATCCAATGATACGAATGGCCCAAGTCTTTTTAGGGCGCCCATGCCAGAAGACATCTTTTTAACAACTTGGTCTGGGTGATTTTTCCAGGTTGATTTAGCTTTCCCAACTTGGTCCTGATATTTTTCCCTTGGATTTACATTTGCATTTAGTTACTACCTAACCTCGTCCCCAGGGTCTTCTCGCTGCCGCTGTCACAGCGTTTTGGGCATCCCCATACACCGTATTCACAAATGGCGGACACGCGGGAAAAAACTGGGGCCTAGTCATGAAAGCGAGGCGTTGGAGGGTAAACAAAAATTGCAAATGAAGACTTTCAGTGAACTTGCAGAGTGTTTAGCACGGATTCCACCTAAAATAACTTTGTATCAGTGCAAATCTAAAATCTTTTGATTTCTTTGCATTGCGAAATAAAATAATTTTATCAAAACTAGAAGCTCTAGTGTGTGAATCTTATGGCTTGCTATTTGCCTAGTCTCCTTTACGGCATTATCTCAGAGAGCTCTTTGTAAAAAAGTGGTATAAAGCTCACATTTTACTAGGTTAAACTTTTAAGGCAATGTTTGTGTCAGGACTGAACACGGCAAGCTTCTGTTTCGAATCATTAATGCATCAGTCAATTCCAGCTGCGCCCAGCGCCCCCCCGGGCTGACCCCCGGGCATTAGCATTCTTTTTGCCTTGGATGGCAAATTCCCGGGGGTGGGGACTCTTGAGCTGTCAAATCCCCCGGGGTGGGGACGAAAAAAGAGGGCAAATGCCCCGTCCTCCGTAAACACTGCAACATTTTTCATTGATCGCATAGTCGAATAGTGCCGTTTTAAGCATTTTAATGTAAATTTTTTGTTTCAGTTAACGTCTTCCTTTGTAATAGCGCTATGATTCTA